TCTTTGATGCCTGATCCCTTCGATACCTTGTGGTCACACAGGCTGGTGTGCTTCTTCCATGTTGCCTTTGTTGCTTCTCAGCTACATGGCAGCTGGTTTACCTCAGTGTTTATTTCTTAATGGTGTTTCATGTATCCCTGGTTTCTTTTCTTTCCATATCAAGTTGGGCATTTGTTTTTCCATTTCTTTGAAGAACTGTGGGGGGATCTGGATCGGGATTCCTCTCTGTGCTCTCGGTATTTCTCTCTTAGCCAGCCTAACTAGAGCTAGGTCGCGCTTACTCTTCTTTTGAATGAAACCACTTTTGGGTTTTGGACTTCCTCTATTGTTTCTCTGTTTCTCATTCCACTGACTTCTGCTCTGGGTTTATTGTTTCCTCCCTCATGCTTTCGTTGGGTTTAGAAGCTCTCCTTTTCTAGCTTCTTAAGGCTGAAGTTGAGAGTATCCACAGGGGCCTGGGGCTATGTTCATTTTTATTTAAAAAACAAAACAAAAAACAACTCTCTTTCTCTCCTTAACCGTATGGTTCTAGTTGATCTCTTCAGCTCTAAGGAATCCTGATGGCATAGTGGGTTAAGTGTTGAGCTGCTAACCAAAAGGCTGGCCATTCAAACCCACCAGCTGCTCCTAAGGAGAAAACGGAGGCAGCCTGGGTCTGTACAGATGTGCAGCCCTGGAACCTTCTTGAGCAACTCTAGTCTGTTGTTTGTGTTTGCTATGACTCCGAATCATCACCTCTTTTGTGTCATCTTCACTAGCACATTCACTCAGTGATTTCTTGATTCCAGAAACTGCACTTTCATTTGATCCTCTGTAAACACCCCATTTCCTTGACGAACCTTCTGGTGTCCAAATCACTGGAAGCAGGATTCCATCGTTCTCTGGGGACGTGTCTATCACAGGGCTGTGGCGAGGTGCTGGCCTGTGGATTCGACGCGGCAGGCAGTCCAGCCACCTGGCAGACCCTGGGCTAGCCGATGATGTTGTCTTCCTCCCTGAGCAATGGTCAGGTTTTCATGGTTCTTGCTCGACTGGGTCAAAGCGTTTTGTGGTTCACATGGTGAATTCAGTGTTTCAAACAATTGTGCGCATTGGTTCATTGTGAGTTTCAGCACTGGGACAAGTCAGATAGATCTAGAGTAGGACCCCATCCTAACACTCCACTGTGGAAGCACTGGGCAGGCGTGTCAGCCTCTCTGGGACTCCCACTGTGTTGGGGTGAGGTGAGGTTGGGAGGATGGCCCTCCCTCACAGGACTCAACAGGAACTGTGAACTCTCCACCCGGACTCACGCCAGCCTTCGAGTCCATCCAGCCCCAACGCCGCCCTAGGTAGCATTTCTGAGACTGTCAATCTTTTGTGAGCAGAAAGCCTGGTCTTTTGGTTGATGGGGTAGAACCGCCAACCTTGTGGAGAGCAGCCCACCACTTACCAACAGTGCCAGCAAGGCTCCTTAGCAGAGTCACTGGTGAAAGACCGCAACAGTGTGGCTTCAGACTAAAAGAGTCCAGTAAAAACTGGGATCAAGTGTGTGTGTCCAGCCATTGCCACTGCTGGGATTCTGATCGGCAGTGACATTAGGGGGCAGAGTGGATCTGCTCCACGGGGTTTCCAAGGTTGTCACCTTCATAGACATAGATACCTTTCTCCATAGCACACCTGGTGGACTCACATGGCTGATG